TATATATATATATATATATATATATATATATATATATATATATATATATATATACACACACATTAGAATATAAGGGCAATAGTAAATACGAAATTGATTATCTATCGTGTCCTCGGAATCATCTGATAAAAGAAATATTATTTTATTTAAATGTCGAGGGTCACAAATTAGAAACGAAGAGAATACAAGAACCAAAATTTTGGGTTCCACCCTTAACCTTCGAATCTCCTCGAAGGGGCGGAGCGAATCGAGAGCAAAAGCCCGAAGAGAAAATACAGAGGGAAAAGATGCAAGGGGCCGAGGATTTAAGCATCGAAGATCTAGCTTCCAATGTCTCCACATACAAAGATCAGCTACGCGAGGTCCGATTTCGGCTTCTCTGTTTCTTTTCTTGATATTATTGTTCTTAGACCTCCCAAGGTTGGTGATTATATTATATGCTGGCCTTGGTGGTGATCGCTTCCGTGCTATTAGGGTTTCCATGTTCATTGCGCTATGGTCTCTCGTTTCGCAGTCTAGGTTGTAATCGGTTTCTCCGTCTTGTAGGTTTTCGTGTATTCAAGATATCTTCTTTAGGGTTTCGCGGGTGTGGTATCTGTAGACTCAGGGGATTTGCTTTTAAAACATGTCTTTTGTTTGAACGTATAAGTAATCGGATTTTCTATTTGCTTGAAATTTTTTATTTTTTATTTTTGTTGTTGTTTCAACTGGTTGCTGCAAGCATAGTACCATGCATTCAATTGATTTCAGCTGTTCTATGCACTTGTTTGTTATTGTGCACATTTCCACTGGATCAATCTGGCTTGATTAGTGGACCATAGAAACTTGAATCTTCTATGCAAGTAATTAAGCTAGGTGTTACAGTTGTTAATAGTTTGAATGGCTTATAATTTTACACTAGACAAAAACAGTGTAGTCAGATACATTTACTGATGCATCGGAAAACATGAATTATTTTGTAAGATCCAAAATACATGTTTGGCTAAAATTTAGATCATAGACCTTTTTCACCATCTCCATGAGGATACACAGATATTTTATTTCACCAGTGAGAAAACCAGATACTGTTCAAGAATTGGGACATGGTGTAGGGGCACTGTGTTTTTGTACGAGTGTGCATACTGTTTGTATCTAAGGTTGCTATTGCTAGCTTCCTAATTTAACAAAGTTTGTTGCTTGAGATAAACGCAGAGAATTGTATTTTACCATGTGGAGAATATGGAACATAGCAAAGAAAGTCATGTTGAAACCATTTAGGTATGTTTCCCAAAGCATGTAGTTTCAATGACGAACTTTTTTGGATTATGTTATGCATTATCCATCATGTGATGATGGAAGTTGAGGGATTCCAGTGGGCCCCTTCAACAGTTACTCATGGCAACAATATGTGCCTAATTCTTACTCTTTAACCTGGTCTCTCAACTTTGCTGGCATCTTTTTCAGAAATAAGATGTTTTAGCTGTAACTGTTTATTCAATTCCTTGATTATTTTATGGGAAAGTTATTATTGGCTTATTGCAGATATTCTTGTACATATTCCAGAAAATTTTTCTTGTTTTTTACTATTCAATGTATTACCAGCTAATGTCTGGTGCCATTTTAGTTTCCTTTTTGTTTCACTGTGATAAGGATTTTTGTCAGCATCCATGATTGTAAGACTTCTTATGCTTGATGATGTAAAATTCACTTTTTTTTATTCCTTTGTTTATTTTCCCTAAACATCTTTACAGTTCAACTTGTTCTGGATAAATTGATATTTATCTCTATGTTTCAGGTCAGAAAACTTTTGGCTGATGACCCTGGAAACTCTGAATATGCAGATATGGAAAAGGAGCTTGAAGAGGTAAGCTGCATTGATGCTTTAGTAGTAATTTCTGAAACAATGTATCACCTTACTTGTGAAACATGGATGTTCACCGTATTGACTGCTTGTGGTTCTACGTGAGCTATACTAACTCTCAGCTCTAGTGCAATACAAATATTCATAGCAAGAAAGAATAATGTCTCTTTTTGCCTTGTCGTACTTATAAGTTTTCAATACATGCTATTGCTTTGCCATGTGTTCTTCAAGGAACGATAAGATATTTCAAGGATAGCATGATCTGGCTGCATCACGGCGGAGGGTTTTGATGAGGATTTTAGATTCTCTTAACACCTTGAAAGGTGAGAAGGGTGATTTGTTGTAATAGCTCTCTTGTTTGCAGCAGTTGGAGATATATGGGCTATTGTGACCAGAAAAGCAAGAGCTATATGTGAAAGATTGTGTTTTAATATGCCATCACTCTTTTATCTTGGTTTTCTGCAGGTTTTGCCTTTCATAATGGCAGAATGCCTGCCTGCTTATGATAACCTGGTTTCAGATGTTCACGCAGCATCCTAAGTCTGAAGCTTTAGATCGAAATGTGGTTTGTCAAGAAAAATAGGTTCCTCCTTTCTATGCTAAATTTAGTGTTACTTTTGAGAATGTAGGTTATTGCACTGACAGAGGAACTCTTGGTGACTGCAAAGCCAGCAGATGCTAACCAGCTTGATACAGATGCATCTCCCCAGGATCAGTTTGGTGGAGCATCTCAGTCGAAGGTGGTAATTCCATCAATGATTTTATCTGGTCAATTATGGTCTTATTTTTCATTTTGCAATTTGTATAACTTCATTAAACAAGTTATCTACTAAATATTGGATAAGGTGGAAATCATATGAAAGTTTATGCATTTATATTTCTGTTATGTTGCATAATATGTCCACAATTTACAAGCTTGCAGTCTTGTATGCTGTTCATCACAAGTATAGTATTGATTCAATTACTTATCCTTCCAGTTCTCTCAATTATGACGTAACTCTTGTTCAGTTGGTCTTGATATGCTCTTGCTTTACGGTGAAGGGCCTAAGTTCACTGTGTTGTTTTATTTTATACATGAGAAACATCAACTTTGCTCTATGGCATATTTTAAATACATGAGAAACATAAACTTTGCCCTATGTCATATTTTAAAATACTTGTTAAATGTTAGTTCTGGTTTATTTCTTCAAACAAATTAACATGATGTTTTAAATTTCTTATCTTTTTAAGAAAATTTTCATGTATGAACTTATTCCTTTGTGTTACCTTCCAGTTTGTCTTAACCAATGCCTGGCATCTTTACTTTAGGCATCATATGAACATTCTCAGCTGTATGGATTTTCTTCTGGTACTAAAGTTCAAGCGGTTTGGAGTGAGGATGGGGAATGGTATGTATGCCATGATAGGTTTAATTATGTTAGTATATTTTTCTTTCAATTGTTTCACCTATTCTCTTTTATGTGTTGATTAGTTGAATGTTTAGGTATGATGCCACAATCGAGGCTATTACTCCTAATGGGTATTATGTCTGCTATGATGACTGGGGAAACAAGGAGGAGGTATGTAAATTTTTGAGTTGAATTAGATGACTATCCAGAAGTTTTCCCTGAAGCATCCATTTTTTTCCATAATTTATGAATATTTTTTTTGGGTAAAACATCATTAATGGATAGTTTAGAAGACAAGAATTAAAACTTTAAATCCAATTTAAAGTATGTGAATAGAGAATAGATGGTTTAAGAAGCTTTCTGTTCAACAATCTTAAGCGGTTCATGGTTGATGACATTTTATAACTGCCATCTTGTCGCAGTTTCATACATGTTATATTTATGCTACTTTTGGTTAATTGAGCACCATTAGAAAACATTTGCATGAAATAAGTTTTCTTTTGCATTCAGTATAGTTGGAGCATCTTCTTCTCCTATTCATTTATCTTCTCTCTCCATTATTGATGATTTATGTGATCTACATGAAGGGAAATCTTAAAGATCCTGTTCATCATTATGATTTTGCATCCTTGCATCATCTTTTGTACATTGACACCTTGGGCTTGGAGTTGTGTTGTGCCACATTGCGTAGACTTGTTAGTAAGTACAAAACCTTTCTATGCAGGGAAAAATCATAGCCATGTTTCGACTATAAGTAAGTGAATATTAATTGTTTCATAAAGCATGCATTGTAAAACATGTTATGTAGCTGCAAAAAGATATTTTGAATAATAATATAACGAACCAAGCCCAATTTTGAAGACGCAAAAGGGCTTTTCCTGGTAAATTCACCATAGTTTTGGGCCTTTCATCTCTCCTTGTCTAAGGTGTGAATTTCACATTACAAATTCTTATTTAAAAAATGTTCTTGTTTCTGTTATGACCAATTTTCAATTGGAACAGAATGTTTATCTCCTATCTTTTAAATACTAAAATTTCTAGTTCATTCTGTGTTGTCAACCATCCTTCCTCTCCTCTAGTGTTTGCTACTTTAAATTGGATGTAATTTGCTAGATTCAATTTATCATGTGTTGAACTCCTTATTCACTTATATCTCCCTGTTTAGCATTTTCCAGTCACTCTACTGTGTTCAACTCAGTGGCATTGTGGAATTTGAACCTTCTGTTCTTGAATTCTTTTGTTTAGGTCTTCTCTATCAAATTGTTTGTGAACAAGGCACCAATTTTTATTTTATTACTACTATATTTTATCCAATATTGCTTATGTTACCTAAATGAACCACTCTATTAACTTGTGATGATTGCTGTTGATGCTGCATCCAGGTGGATCCTGCTAATGTTCGGCCAGTTGAAGAGGGTGATGCATTGTTAGAAGCTGAAAGAGAAGCTGAGGCTACCCGACAAGCCATCAAAAGGAAAATTGCACAAGCTGCTACAACCGACTTCCAAGCACGTACCTTACCTGCCAAACTTCGTATTGATCCCAATGATCCTGATGACGTGGTAAGTAAATTGACCAGCTGCTCACTATGGTTTCCAGAACCAAGTAATTGGGTGTTCTCTAGAGACAAATATTATGTTCATTATACTGCTTGTGCCATTTCTTTGTGTTATCAGATATAATGTCACCCATTTTAATGCCTTTTGGGTCTTTATCTGTAACTAGATATTCTTCTTGATTCACCAGTAATCCTTGTAATATTTGGAATACTAAAACATACAATGCCAGGTCAACAAGAAAATGATGATTACCAAACACAATTTGCCTCTCTCATGAGGAGTATGAAACTAATTAGATAGTAGGCCCTTACCATCTAAGATATGATCTGCTACATACAATTATATGTTGGGCATGTGTAAATTGAATAAAAAGGGCAGTGGTTGTGAAAATGAGTTAAATCTACTGCTGGTGTAATAATTTAGGAATAAAACTGATGTCATCTAATTTGCTTAAACCCATATAATTGTGGAGTTTATGTGAAGATGGAGTTATGTCAATTATACTGCTTGCATATGCCATCTCTTTAATCTTTGGAATAGTAAAACATATTTGTTTCTTAATGCCAGGTCAACAAGAAATTGATGATGATTTGCTTTTCTCATGAGACTGAAATTAATTAAAGGGCAGGTTTGATTACCATCTAAGATATGATCTGGTACATATAATTATACGTTGCACATGTGTAAACTCAAAAAAGAAGGGCAGTGGTGGTAAAAATGAATTACATCTACTGATGGTGTAATTAGTTAGGAATGGAACTTACATGATTTAAATCCTGTTTTTTGTATGGCAAAAAGTTATGTGAAGCATGGAGTTACGTGGATTATCATCAGTTGAACTGCCAGTTTCACATTCTTTTCCCCTTATCTTTTGTAGCTTGGAATTTTTCTAAGCACTGTTTCATTGTGCAACAAGTACTTGCTTGTGATTTGCCTGTTCTTTCTTTCAAGTATTTTTGCTAAATAACAGATTCTTGCATGTATTGGCAGAAAGCTTCTAAGCGCAAGAAGATACATGCTTTCAAGTCAAAGGTTCGCAGTGAACAACTAGAAGTTGCACAAAATAAGCGGCAGAATGCATGGCAGCAATTCCAATCCACCAAGGGAAAAACTAAGAAGGTAAAAAATAATCAGGATTTCATTTGTCATATTTGGCTTCTGTTTTGGAGGGCAGGGTTTGATACAACTGTAAAGTTGCTCCTTTGCGACCTGAAAGATTAGGTGTTGAGTCACGGTAATTGCATTTCTCTATTTAGAGTAGGAGTCATGTACATTGACCCTCTCTAGACCCCAAACCTCACATTAGCGGGAGTTTTATGTACTGGTTATGCTCATATTTATTGTTTTCTTTTGTTGCGGCCACTACTCTATTAATCAGTTTCTATGGCAATGCCAGCTTACTTTCATAATGTGCACAATCATTATCAGATTTCAATTGATCTTTTGATGTTGCAGATTGGATTCTTCTCCGGTCGTAAACGAGAAAGTATCTTCAAGTCCCCAGATGATCCTAGGGGCAAGGTTGGTGTTACTGGCAGTGGAAAGGGACTGACAGAGTTCCAGAAGAGGGAGAAGCACTTGCACCTCAAGGGAGGTTCGGTGGATGCAGAGGACTAAGTTTGTGGACTGTTTAGATTGATACTCCTTCCTACCCTCAGCTAAAACAGGGTCTCATGACTCGATGAGGATTCACATGTAGTCTTTTCCAAGTGCACTTGATGCTTTGTTTCTCGACATCATTTTAATTAGTTGGATACGCAGCAGTGCCTTCTTATAACCTATGGACGCATAATTAAATTTGCATGTAGATACTCTGGAGAGCGAGGGGTTAAAATTTTTCCTGGTTCGGTTCGGACCGATCGGTATTATGGTTCAACCGGATGTGAACCGGGACATTGATCATCCCATTTTGGATGGTTTGGGCTGGCTTTTTTGTTATCCCTAAGATGTCAGATCTGTGTTATTCTTTAACCGAACTGGATGTTGTTTAGGGCTTCGTTTCTTTCTACTGGAACCTGATGTTTTAGGGCTCACAAATACTTTCAACTGAACCCGATGTTTCGCCCTGGCGCATTCTCCCTCTCTGAACTGTCGTGCAGTAGTTGTCGCCGCCTGCTCGTTAGAGCATTATGGGTGGTGTTATTATATTATTGTGTATCCGTATCATCCTCCTGACATGTCAAGGATGTAAGCGAAGCTTAAAGTTTGATGGGCATCCAATCAATTATCACCACTACTTGCAACAGCACTACTGCCGAAATGCATATATACCTGTGCGGAGGTAGGATTTACCACATTGCTTCATCGCCAGATGCAGCAAATAATTTATGTTACGAGAATCGAAGAATAAATCTTCTAGTAGAAGATGGGTTAATTATATATTACCCATAGTTAATTATCTTTAGTGTTTCTATTCTTATATTTCAAAAAATTATATTGGTATTAAGTGAAACATATAAGTCCATTTATTCTAACGACGTTAGTTTTATTGATAGAAACACAAAGACAAAGGGTAAAATGATAATTTTAACGTTCGGTGGTGACGGATAGAGACGTCGTTGGCATCAACGTCGATGTAGTTGTCTGGCCATCTTTGACGACGACAAGGTCCACTCCATCATGACGCCACCCGCCTCTACAAGGAGCACACCACCGACCTCATCGCTGCTCTTCTCGCGTCGCTCTGCATCTACATTGACGTTGATGGTGATGGTCACCGTGATATCTCTAGCGAAGATGGAGGTCACCTCACCGTTGACCCATTGGGAGGATCCTAGCATTGACCTAAAGCTTGGGTCACCCGAGTTCTTCCCACTCCCTCTGCTACCACGTTAGTTCTGGCACCATATCTCGTTAAGAGGCTCTCTCGTCATTTTGCATCTACGTTGGCATTGATGCAGACGTGTTAGATGTTGTCTAGGTCAAGCCGACTGCTGAGGAAACTCAATGACCCGATTCGAGGGAGGTGGATCATGGCGTCCACGACGGAGTATGCCACCTTGCAAGAGTCATACAAGTCGAAGAGTTGGAACCAATTGACGATGGATGTTGCCCTCTACGGTGTAGCATTGGGCACCAACCAAAGCTTGTCCATGTTGTTGCCATTATGCGAGAGGCGATTGGAGCAAAGGGCGAGCATGGCCGTGAACGGGTCGAGGGAGGCGATGAAGTTTTTCATGCACATGATGAAGTGTTTTTAATGAGAGCAAACCGGGGGAGGGAGGGGGAGGAGGGGGTAGGCAGAGACGTCTTCAACTATAGCAAGATGGGAGAGGAATTTGGGGGTTCTGAGGTGCTACTCCCAAGAGAGGGGGATGGGGAGCCACCACCATTATCTGTTTTGATGTTGATGTAATTTTCGAGCAGTAACTACATCAACGTTGACATAGATGTAGAGCAGCACAAGGTGAGCGACGATGAGGTTAGCGGCATGCTCCTCGTCGAGGTGAGTGGCGTCATGGTGAGAATGAATCTTATTGTCATTGGAGGCGACAAGGCAACTATGTCGATGTTGACGTCGTCGATCGTCGTCCACTATCAAATTTTAAAATTATTTTTATCCTTTATTTTCATATTTTCATCAATAAAATTGATACTGTTATGGTAAATAAACATAGATGTTTCGTTTTTGTAACTATAAGAATGCCAATGTAACTTTTTAAAGTGTAGGAATACAAAATAATTAACTATAAAGGATAATATACTAAAAGATGAGACTCCCTTAATCAAATGAAACAAATTTAGTTTTTTTTTCTTACATGTATTACCAATATAGCATATATATCGATCTAAAATTAAGACTCTGGACCTATCTCACCAATATTCATCCAAATATTATACTTTAGCCATTACAGTCCAATATTTAAATATAAATTTGTTAAAATTAGGAACTGCTAGTGGCAGCTGATGCACAGTGGTTTTCTCTGTTTTTTTCATACAATTCATATGAGCGGGTGAAGAGAAAACTCATCACTAGTCATAAGCGCATGCCATCGCAGGATACACATTTGGACATTCTGATCAATTAATTTCAGATCAAGGACCAAAATTACTAGGGAACTTAAAGATACTAGTCCCACAAGAAGACATCATCTCGTGTGGATTTGTTAACAGTAGTTTAGGGTTTATACTTTACAATAAAGTACAGTATCAATTATCTTGCAGATTCTTCCCAAAAGACAAAGAAAAGAAAGCAAAAGTAACAGTAAGGTCTTCTAAGTACAGAAATGAACTGTCAACGATGAACCACGATTAAAAGACTATCCAGTAGATCTGATGAACAAGCAAAATCATAATGGATCCAATTGCAAATAATTCACAACACTTCAAGAATTACCTGAAGGCATGAATGATCACATGAATTTATGCCTGACCAATATTTGTAATTTTGCAAGCTGAACACAAGTCCCAAGTGTTGGTGCCATATACCACTGTACAAATTCTGGGATTGCGAAGCCTTCTAACAATGGCTTACAAACCTCCCAATTAAACTAAGACCTTAAGTACAACATATGCAATAAGATAACTTTGAATTTGGATGATGAGTTGCTGATAAACCAGATTGGTAGTTATGATGTGCTATTTACAGTTTAATCTGGAGACATTAAGAATGAAAGGATCAGAAGAAGTGGAACAAAACAGAAACATTGAACTCAAGATTGGCAAACAAAACCTCACCTAGCATACAAGTTGGAAGTCAGTTCCGCCGTGTATCCCAGTTAAGTAGGACCAAACTGCCATTTATTAGTGTAATGCTGTGGCAGATGTGCATCTCCTAAATAAAAGAAGGCCAGGCATGTTGCAGAAATCATTTAGCAGGTATCATTGAACACATCCAGCTCTTGAAACTTTTAAATAGGTAGCCATGGAAGCAAATTATTGTCTCCAAATTGGTCTCAAGGTTGAGAAGCTTCTGCTGAATCTTTGCTACATTTTGTTATAAGATCATAGTTGATAGAAGCCAGTTGTGACAAATTCTGAACAAAATTTACAGGATTACATTATAAGATATATAGAGCACAAACTAATAATAATCTAAACAATTTTGTTTCTGCAAAACTCTCACCTTAAAAGAAAAGTTACTAAAGGAATACTTCACAGAGAGTGTCGGTCCAAAGTCTGCCATACTGCCACATTGATCTCCCTGATCAAAGAAAATTTTAAAGAGAATTAGAGCTCCATTTAATAACCGATTTCATGAAATTGATTAAAAACACATCTCTGTACATCTTCATCCAAGATGGAGCTGTGAGGGCTGCTGCAGCAGCTCGTACTGCATGCATCAGACATATTATCGTATTCACGAGATGTTCCATGAAGCTGTTCGTCTGCTGCATTCCATGGATGGCGGCTGGCAAAGTAGCTTGTGTCATCATCACCTTCGGTTGAGGGGATGAATGCTACCTGTGGCAAGAAAACAACCTTTTTGTTTGTGTCACAAAAGCAGAAAACTTGGATGACAGTTAATCTCAGTCATGTAACCTTCTGCCTGGCGAGCATATCCCAATTGATGGTTCTGAAGAAAGGATGAGATTTCACCTGTCCTAGTGATGAAAAACTATGTCAGGCTTTACCACACAAATAAAATATGTTCATCAAGCTAAAAGAGATTTACCTCCCCAGCCCCAGTTGCTCCAAGTCTTTGGACTGGGTTCTGACTTAGCAATCTGAATCCAATGAAAGATCAAATTAGATAGTAGTTTTAGTTTTCAATTTCCTATAATGCATATTAAGGAATCTTGAGATTTTAATGCTCAACAAATCAAATAAACTGCACTAAAATGTATGATATAAATTCACAAAATATGAAGATATTAACTCTACAGATAAAGAGATAGAAATATGCACAGATGATATGCAAGACGAGTGAACATGGTTTTGCTAGGGAAATAGCCAAAACACTCAGTTCTAATAGAAAATAGGATAAAAATGTCTCTAAATATGAGACTGGTCAAACAAAACATTTGATCAAGTTAGTAATGCCCACAGATTTATATGCACATTTAAGGTCCTTTAGTATGACTAATGGAGTACATGCATTGGATAAGGTAGCATCTGGGATACTTCCTAAAATTATCTATTCTTAATCTCCCATCTGGTTGTGATGGTCATCCTCCATGTAACAAATATTTTCCGCTTCACTAGCTTGGTGTTGATAATACCTTCATGTTTGCTCATTAAGATCTTATTTTTCAAATTGGAGTTTACAGTTCATCTTAACATGTTTTTCTGATCCTATATGTCTTAACTTTGTGCAGAATCACATCTTAAACACAAACAGAATTTTCTTTAAGTAGAAATATACCCTGTGTAGTGGTAGAATCAGAAGAATATTGTACATATTGACCACAAACATCATTGTCCTATTTATGCATTGGGTATGTGAATATGGAGTAGCAAATTGTTGGCAGATTTGGTTATTTTCTCTTTGATAAAGGTTTCTTTGTTCTTTCCAACCAGATTTTGGCTAATCTAAGTCCCACGATCTAGCATTTACCTAAATGGATTTGTAACTTTGAATATTAAATAAGAATTGCATGGGTAGTTTCCTGAAGACGAAAACACTAATGGGTTAAATGTCACTTAGAACATAAAATGTTACCAGCTAGTCAGCTACCATATTCACTAATGTCATATGGTCAAGCATTGTAAATACAATATGAACATTTGATAAACAGAAAATAGTTATTCAGACTTTCTTCTGAATTTCTCGAAGTAGTGCACATCTATGGCCATCAGCTAAGTGACTGTTATAGACTACTACTCACTCCCCCTTATATAGGCTTATCAAATGTCAATATATTTGACAAATCATTCAGTATGGCAGGAGCAAAGCTGCTTATATTGACCCTCCTAAACCCTACAATGGTGGAGCCTCATGTGTTGGACCACCCTTTTCCTTTTATTTGACAATTCATGCAACATAGAAGATATCAAAGAAAAATGCGGTAATGTAATATTTTTCTAGTATATCACTTAAAGCGTTTTTGAAGAATTTTTCTGCAGACAATAGAAAAAGGTAAAAAAAAAAATATTGACTATAGCTCTCAGATCTTACTTATCAATCAAATCATGAGCCTCAAAACTCATCTCTTCTGGTACTTGTGGCCAAGGTATATCCCGATTCATAATATTATCAAAAATTTTCTGCAGTTAGCAAGATGAATGAATTTTGGAGAATATAAAAAGTACAATAATGAATGAACACAGTAAGTTCTCAAATAGTTGTATGAGAAAAACTGACAATAAGGAATCCAGGGATAAGCCGAATTATATGAAAACAATTGCATGGCATTGTTTTTGTTGTTATTCTTAATGCTGATCAACCTAGAACCTAACCTGAAAGGGCTAGTCCAAAGATATTAGTTCTTGGGTCATAATTATCCAAAATCTTTCCAATGAACATCCAACATAGAATTTAGGAAGCATCAAATGTGGCTAATGACAATCAAAATTAAGACCCTAATGATTACAATCTCAAAAACAAGTTAGAGCATCTCCTGATTTATTAAGACTTATACAATGATAACCTTATCTCATACTGCTGATTTAGGTATATTTTGAATTTAGATATAACATATTTCAGAATTCTGTAGCAGTTTAACACGACAATTTTTCACTTTCAGCTTAAGTGTTCAATATTTACGCCAGTGCAAGGGAAAACTGGTTTATGATGGCACCCTACACTTAATTGCAATATATTCTCCTTTTTTTTGCTTTAATTTGATGTTCATATATCTTGTCTAATATTTTAGGGGTAAATCTTGGCTCCACGGTAAGATTGCATATCTCCAATGTAAGTGTGAAGTGTTAAGACTTTTTATTCTATGTTCATAGATTTTGTCATATATTTTAAGGGTAAGCCTTGGTGCCACAGTAAGATTGCTTATTTCCAAACTAAGTGTCAAGGGTTAAACTTACAGAAACTACTTCTCTATTTACAAGGAGTAAGCAGCATATGTTGAGCCTCCCCAAACTCGAAGTAGTCTTGTACAGTGCACCAATTTTAGTTAACGAAATCATTTGCTTTGATATTTCTAGTTTCATTCTTACAAAACTTTTTAATTAGAATTGTGATCTGAAAACAAGGATTGTCATTCCATCATACTGGTCTCTAGGCGAATTGGAAGAAGCAAATCAAATTCAAATTATCAAGTGTATGCCATGTAAATCTTAATGTTGTTCGTACACTAATCCTTACTATATTAAATTAATTCCCAAAAACTCTTGAAAACTTAGTGGATTTTTAATTGCATACCTGTGGATGCTCTGCATTGAATGGGGGAATACCTACTAGAAGTTCAAAGAGGACAACACCCACTGACCACCAATCTGCAGTTCTGCCTACAATCCAGAGATCATGAGTCAAAATATTCAGACTTAAAGTGTAAAAGACATTTTTATGAAAACAGAAACACAAGGAGTGCATGTGAAGAGAAAACATTTTTCTTCTTCTTCAAAAATTTGGAAGCATACAAGTCTAACATGACAAACCATGTTGCATTCCTAGAAGTATCTCCGGTGCCAAATAATCAGGAGTTCCAACAGCTGATTGTTTTTGCCTCTGCTCTCGTTTTAGTGCTCGTTGTTCTGCTGGAATTGGTTCATCATCACCTAGGATAGCAGAACCGCTGACATCTGGACCTGATAAATCATCGGTGCTATTGATAAGACCAACCTTAGAGAGTCCAAAATCAGTCAACTGCATCACAAAATAAGAGACTTAATAAGCTTACAGATAATGTGATATTCGAAAAATAAAATAACATAGTGCCACAGTGCTAAACTTCAAAAGCAAAATGAGAAAACTCAAATGAGAAGCCATATTTGTTCCTATCACATTCAATTTTAGCTATCACCAAAAGCATAAGATGCAAATTATTTCACAATTTGGATAGAAACTTTGGCTTATTAAGGCTACAATTGGTAATTAACTTATCTAACAGCTCCAACAATGGAATCCACCATTCCCAACCTATAAGAGAACCAAACGTACAACACTTGCCAAGAAATGACCTGAATTTCATATTTCAAACAGGTTTTTTGTTCTATCACTATGCTGAACTGGTCTCTCTCATATTATGGATTTCCGAAAGCTTGAGATCAGAAATTTAGGCTGTACAAAACAAAGAAATAAAATTCTTAACTCCTCTAATTCTCTTAGGTTATTATAAAAATCAGATTGTTCTGAAAATTTGTGTATTTATTTAAATTTTCATAGGTTTTTAGTTGATTAAGAGTTAAAATTTCAAAGTTTGGATAGACCACATAGTTGATTGAGGTTATTTTGTGCTGTAAGTAATCTAAAACCAGTGGTCAGCCATTAGTTTCCAAGTTTAAAGATGAATAAGTGTATAAACATTATCTTTTAGAAATCAAGCCTATCTTGAGCAAATTAGGATAAAAAATGGATGTCCTGTGGAACATTATTGAATGTTAAAATGTTAATGGATGTCCAATGGACCATTGTTGCAATCTCAAATACTTATGATGTTAGATATGGATTAGATTAATGTATAAGACTTGATGAACCTACTATTGATAACATCAGCGAGTGATCTAAAAAGCGCTAGGCACTAAGATCCCAAAATACCCGAGGCGCTAGGCACCTAGCCAAGCGAAGCGAGGCACTCTAAAATATTAAAATATAAAAAATATATAATACAATTGATAAATAATATTTAATCTATTGTTAACAGTATTTAATCCACTGTTAACAGTAGTTAGACGGCAGAAAAGATTCACCAACAGTGGAAAGTGGGGAAGGAGAAGACGACGATGATCGAGAAACTTTCGGACGACACCAGCGACGGTGGAGGAACCTGCTGATGGCAGCAGCAGTGGCTGAGGTTGCTTCGGACGATAGCAGTAGCAGCAGAGGAAGCTGTGGACAACGATGCCGTGGTGGAGGAAGCTTCAGATATGTTCGTCGGTGGCGAAGGAAGCTGCGATCCTCTCCCTCGACGGTGGAAGGAGCTGCACATGAAAGCAACAATAGCGAAGGAACAGTGCACAAATGCTAGACCTTCGGACCCATCTGTTGATGACAGAGGAAGCATCGTTCCTATATGTCGGAAGCAAAGGCAGCGACAGAGGAAGCATCAACAGTGGAGGCAGTGGCTGTGCACAAAGTATGGTTTATGGGTCAAGGTCGCAAGGGGGGTGGTTGGGTTTCTGTGTGTAGCGTTAGTAAAGCTATTTAGGTTAGTTGGTTTAATCTAACCAACTAAGCTACTATTCAACCGAACCATACTAAGTCTAGTTCTTCGGTTGCTTTACTTCAACTAGGCACTCGCCCAAGGCGCTTGGTGCCTGGGTTCATGCGAGCGCCCAGGTGACACTTTAATGAAGCGCACCACCTGAGCAAGCTTTGAGGAGCTCGAGCCTCATGTCACCCCACCTGAGCTCCTAGGCCAACGCCTATTTAAACCACTCACTTGAGGGAAGCTTTTTTGTTCACATGGTTAAAGTTAGTTGTGTTTAACTTATTGGGCTTGTAAAAGTATCTAGTCCGATCGAGATGAGAAAGATACATAGATTTGTGAGCCAAATTGGGCACTACCACATGTGGATGGTGATGGAGCTGCTAAAGTGGTGCCCATATCCATTAGGAATTGATTTTGGATTTACTTTATGCAAGACTTGTGGGCTTATCGGTCGTTATTGGGCATAATCACTTTGACCCTATCATTAAGGACCATTGCATTCAAGGTATCAAATTTTGCCTAAACTGGTATGTACCCAATGCTATTTATTAGTCCAAGGTTGAACCAGCACATGGACCAGGACTTTTCACCACGTTCGGATTGGTAAGCATGTTACCACTCGAAAACCTGCAGAAACTAGGTGGAGTGAACCAGCACATATTACCAGGACTTTTCACCATGTTTGGATTGATAAGCATGTTACTTGAGAACAAATGAAATATGGTGTACATGTATAGTAGATATGCAAATATTGTTATTTTAACCTTTAAGTAGTTTACTTGAGAACAATCATATAGTGAAGTCATCTTCCAATTAATTGCATATATATAATATACCATGATATCAGCTGCATTATAGAGGACAAGAACAGCCAATTATCTGCATTTACTGCTATGCTATTTTGTTGCAGACCTCAATGCATTAATTAAAAGTATAAAAGAGATTTGTGCAAACAGACATAAATATGGATCCCTTCTAAAGTTCCTAATTCCTATATCAAAGATTAAATGAAAACAGAGGATCTGAATTTGGCAAAATCTCATAAGTTTATTATTCTATAACCTAATGGCATAGAAATACCCACTACTAGTTCCAGTAATTGAAAATTTAGATTCAAATTCTAGGTTTGCAAGATTTTATTAGAACAAGTTACAAGTTGATTGTATTTGAGTCTTCATTCTAATTTCTAATCTAATTTGATAAACCTTGTTTTTTATCTGCATGAACATAACATAATTTATCCAGCACAATTAGAATTTCAAAATCACAATGAATTTGTCTCCCCTTGCTCAATGGAAACATAATTCATGCATCAGTAGCAATGGCAATATCAATTTGTAGTATATATGTTGAGATCTATCAAATCTGTCAAATCTGCTGTGATTTGATTTGATATGTCAAGATCTGCTACGATTTGATTCTTGACATGCTACCTTATTTGAAGTGATAGACTAGGCTATGATTGCTGATTCATTCCTAGTTGTATTACCTTATTTGTGTACATTTGCTAGTTATATATTTCCTAGATTAGCACTTGGATTTATTTAGGTAGCTGTTTCCTTTCTTCTTTTCTCTTGTTTGACTATATGTACTTCATCTTGTATACAAACAAAAGTGACAACTGAGAAACTCTCTTCTTCTATTGTCTTGTTCATGGTATCAGAGAAAGGTTAAGTTCTGTTTTTCTTTTTCTACAGTCTGTAGTATACGGTAGATTAGTTTCTTTCTCTCAGCCTTCATTGTCGAGTGATTCTTCTTGTTTCCAACCATGTCAGAAACTCTTTAAGTTTGTTTCTAATCTTCCTAAACCTGCCCACACTCAAATCTTCCCTTCAATTAGAAAGCCATACCCTCCAAATCTGTACCGTTAAACTAAGTAGGAGAAATTTTATAGAGTGGTCTCAATCCATGAAGCTCTTTCCAATGAGTAAAGGGAAGTTCAAGTATGTGAATGGGGCTGCAAAGGTACCAGCCTTGGAATATGCTTCACACGAAACTTCAGAGATCGAGAATGCGACATTTAAGTTGTGGCCGCTTCACTTCATGCAACCAGAAATCAGCAAGACATAGCTTCTTCTTCCTACGACTAGAGATATTTGGGATGTTGTCAATAAAACCTACTCTAACGTAGATTTTACTTCTCAGATTTTCCAAAGCAAAAGGCAAATTCAAAAGACAAAGCAAGGTACATCAAGCATCACAGATTACTACAATAATCCGCAAGGTCTATTGGCTGAATTAGACCTATATCAAAAATCTGAAGATCGAATCTGCTGCTGACACTAAAAAACTGAGAAACTTGTTGGAGATGGAGAGGGTATTTCAATTCTTATTGGGGTTAATTTCTGAATTTGATCAGGTATATGATCGTGTTCTTAGTAGACAACCTTTTCTTGATCTTGATGAAGCATTTACCCTAGTTCGAAGTGCAAAAAGCCAATAGGAATTGCTAAGCAGTAAAGAAATAGATTATGGCAAGAAAATAGTGGAAAACTCTGCCTTGGCAAGCTCAAAGATACTTCCCAATGCCGAAGACAACAAGAAAGATGGGAGATGGTGTGATTATTGCAAGAAACTAAAACAAACCAAGGAGACATACTAGAAACTGCATGGTAAACCTTAAAGCAATGCAGGCAACCACAGAGATTCAAGTTGGAGGAAATACAGGGGGTTTCGAGACACCTTTGTTTAGTAAGGAATAGCTAGACATTTGCATGGACTTCTTAGCCAAACTTAAACCACCACAAATCCATATCCTACATGTTCTCTTGCAAAACAAGGTAATATTCCAACTGCCCTCCACGTTTCCTCTAACCAAGCACTTTGGATAGTTGATTCAGGTGCTAGTGATCATATGACCAGTCTTTCTCACATGTTCTCCTCCTATACTCCATGTCCTGGGAACATTAAAGTTTGTATTGCTGATGGATCTTTGTCACCAGTTGCAGGAAAAGGTTCTGCTGTTCTCTCAAAGAACCTAATTTTGAAATCTATTCTGCATGTTCCTAACCTATCCTGTAATCTCTTATCCTTAAGCAAACTCACAGAAGATTCAAATTACGTGGCTAAATTCTTTCCATCTCATTATGAGTTTCAGGATATGGGCTCGGGAAGGATGATTGGCAGTGCTAGAGAGGTTAATCAACTTTATTACTGTGAAGGTAATGCTTCCTTCGATGGACAAGCTTAAGCTGTAGGCAGTTTCTCTTCCTTTTATGATATGGATGAAATAATGTTATGGCACTATAGATCAAGGATTTTAATTTTGAATAATACCACCTGTACCGGGCGATACATACCGGTCCGCCAACAGACCGGTACACGTACCACCCCCTACTAGGCGGTACTGTCAATTGGGGTTGTTTCCATCCCGTTACCACCCTAAATCAGTTAGTGACGGTCGATTTTGACCGTCGTTGCCCGCTACCGGGTGGTATTAGCCGAGGGACAAGAAATAAGAGGGAGAAGAAAAGGGAGAACCTGGAGATCTGACGCCGCTCTACCTCGACGATCCCGATCCGTCGCCGCACTTCCTCGCTGGACGTTGCATATGAGATGTTGCCTCCTCCTCGCTTGAGGCGACGAGGCCTCGATGTCGTTGGCGATTTCTCCTCATCCGCGCGGGGAGAAGAAGACTCAGCGATGTTACAGGGAGAAGACATCGAGCATCGTCAAGGCAACGTTTCTTCTCCCCATGCGAGCAAATGAAACGAGGCGACGTCACCTCGTCGCCCTTTTTTGCGCAGGAAGAAGAAAACTTCAATTTCTTCTCCCCACGTGGGCAAAAAAACGAGGTAATGTCGTCTTTTTTTAAAACTTATATACACACACACACACACACACACAAAGAGTTGTACACCAGAACGTACCGCTCAGTATACTCGTACCGTACCGAGCTAAGCTTGATACTCTGATACGGTAAGAAATTACGAACCTTGCTATAGATTAGGTCATTTTAATTTCAAGTACTTGAACAAGTTGATTCATTAGCTTTTCAAAAATAAGAATATCTTTCAAATTATCAACTTGCCAAACATCATCATGTCATGTTCCCTTCATAGCCATACAAACCATCCCGACCTTTTTACTTAATCCATAGTAACATTTGGGGGCCTTCAAAAGTTAAAAACATTACTAGAACTAGGCGGTTTATTACTTCTATTAATGTTCATACTAGAGTTTGTTCAGTATATTTGTTAAAAGAAAAATCTGAAACTGCTATGGTGTTTCAAAACTTCTACACTATGGTCAACACTCGATTCCATGCCCAAATGCAAATCCTTAGAACTAATAAATGGAGGAGAGTACTTCAAATCCATTCTTAAAAACTTTCTAATGGAAAAGGACATTATCCATCAAACTTCTTGTGTTGATACACCCCAACAAAATGAAATAGATGAAAGGAAAAATCGTCATCTATTAGAGGTAGCTCGGATAGTTATGTGTACCACAGGAGTTCATAAATATATTTGGTAAGAGGTTGTCCTAACTGTATCTTATTTAATTAATAGGATGTCAACCCAACTACATAATTTTCAAAAACCCCTAAACATCCTCCTACAAACCTATCCACAAACTCGAATCTTTAGTAATTTGCCTCCAAAGATGTATAGTTGTATAGCATTCGTTTATACACATAGTCATAACAGCACCCAAAGTCTTCAATTTCAAATAATACTGTCCGGTACGGGCAGTACATATCGGTCCGTCCACAGATCGATACATGGACCACCCGTTACCGAGCGGTGTGTGTGTGTGTGTGTGTGTATATATATATATATATATATATATATATATATATATATATATATATATATATAACCCGACGTCGCCTTTCCCTTCTCCTATGTGAGGTGACGCGACGTCGCCTTTTATAAAATTATTTATATATAAAAATATTTTAAAATATAAATATTATATATATATATAAGATTTTTTTTACTTATATATATATATATATATATATATATATACAACGTTACTTTGGCGATGTCGCCGAATTTTTATTTTATTATATTATATATATATATATACCTATACTGAATGATATAACGCTCGGTATATAGTATCATACCATACCGAGTGAATGTCGAAACTCTGGTACGATACGATATTTCAATCCTTGACAGCACCAAACTTGATCCACGAGCAAAAAAATGTGTTTTTCTAGGCTTCTCACCAACTCAGAAGGGATACAAATACTTTAATCATCTTACAAAATAGTTTTATGTAAGTATAAATGTCACCTTTTTTTTTTAAATCAACCTTATTTCTCCCAAACTTCTCTTCAAGGGGAGAACCATTTGAAAGAGAAGTTTTAGAAAACTATTATAACCAAGGTATGCAATTTCGAATAATACCATCCGGTATATATATATATATATATATATATATATATCGTACCGTACTGAGCGTATGTCGAAACGCCGGTACGGTACGATATTTCAAACCTTGATTATAACCCTACCTATGAATTCTCCTTCTAGATTCATTCCTAGTATATCTCCTTAAAGTTCACCTTCTGAATCCATTCCTCTCACAATTCTACCTTCTTAGACACAACCTATTTTTTGTACCACCAATTCAATAGTATAACCCCAATCTATTATTCCAGAACATGAAAACTCTAATGCGGTGGGAGACTTAGTGAAGGATAAACAACAATCAAAGATACATGTCTATACAAGGAGGCGTAACTGACAAGGTTTGAGGCAACAACCACACAATACTTGCCAAGAGTCAGCTTCGAGTGCAACTGATCATGAAACTACAGGTATTCCAAACCATTCTTTATGCCTAGAACCTGTGAGTTTTAAGATCTTGATATTCCTATTACTCTTAAAAAAGAAACGAGGTCATGTACCATTTATTTTATTTCCAATTTTGTGTCATATCACAAATTATCCTCTTCTTTCAGATCCTTTGTTTCTAGCCCAACCAACAATACATCAACCAATAGCCCAAATTTTGTGTCATATCACAAATCAGATCCTTTGTGTCATATCACAAATTATGTGAAAAACTGATAGCCCAACCAAATTCTGTTTTTCAGATCCTTTGTGTCATATCACAATTTTGTGTCATAGCCCAACCAACAATACATCAACCAATAATATATTATTGATTATCCATAGAGTAATTAAATATTCAAATAAATCAGTCGATGGAGAAAATGTGATTATGTGTAAAGAGAACAGGAGAAATCAAGTGTATAATAGGCCTATTAGCTCTTTGTCCATGTCACTCCAAATTATATTATATATCATAAATTACATTGTTTTGTATTTTAACAAAGCAATCACCTAAGAAAATTTCTTACAAATGCTTGCATTTTCTCTCGTAAACTAAAGAAATTGCTTAAGAAAAAGACGATCTGATGCATGGGGCTCTCGCTAGGGAGGATTAGCTCATGGAACTTGATTTCACCGAACTGATATGTATGAACCGGTGTTTACCTGTCGGGGTGTGAATGGGTACTTACACTGCACCACCTTGGGCAGTTTGGTCTGGTCCAGTTTTAGACAAATGGAGACGGCTCATGATTGGTGAGCCCTCTCCACCTCCTTGTCACCTGACTGCCACCACCACCACTGCTCGTCCACCTGATGCCCACTTCTTCCTCCTCCTACCCCCACCTCTCTCTCTCTCCCTCGAAAATTGTATACTTTATATCTTTTACTGTTATAGATGAAGCTCAATGAGCTTGTATCATCCTACAAACATTTAGAATAAGAGAATCTATTTTTCGTTGACATTTCAAATATTTAAAGTTCTAGTTATAATAACGATGAGTAAGGGTGATTTGTAGGCAAGAGAAGAACTGAGTAAACCGATACTGACCTTAATGTGACCATCCCAAGCAATCAACAAGTTATCAGGCTTAAGGTCTCGATGAATTACATTCAGAGAATGCAAGTATTCCAGAGCAAGAACCTGAAACATTATTTCTACAGTTATACCAGAGCAAGATTCTGAACCATTATTTCTCCAGTTATATCAATCTTCACATATAAAATATTCCCAGGTGTAAATTATGTAACAAAATGGATCATACCTAGATTTCTAAAGACAAAAGATTTGTTACTTACTACTTCAGCCACATATGTACGTGCCATATCTTCATCCAAACAGCCTAAATTTCTTAGCAATGAATATAAATCCCCTCCATTTATGTACTCCATCACAAGATAGAGATTTTCCCTACATGTGAAGGAGTAGAAGAAGCGCACCTGTGTATTCACAAATTAAAATTAAATACACACCTGAAGTAGTTGGGATGCTGAATGTTAACCAGAAATACTTACCACAAAAGGGTTTCGAGCTGATATCAGAATGTTACGTTCAGCTAAAATACTTTCAACTGCATTCTTGCGTACCATATCAGACTTTTTAAGAACCTACATTTATACAGAAAAAATTAGCATGTTCATTGATAAAATTTTTGTAACTCATAGGATTTCAAGTCAGGAGATATTATAGTGGAGAAAGTATAACATTCAGTAAGATATGATGAATTAGGACTCATTTATCAAGTAGTAACCTAATGAATTGTGGCCACAACTATGCAGCTTTAGAAATCTATGTACTTTAAGACAACCAGGCATATCATTACTATTGATTTTGTGTTACACAAATAAAAGTCTACTTTAAACCTGATAACATATCTCAGGTTATAACAAGACCTTGGGATGGACTTACATAGTATGTACCTATTGTTTAGTCATCCCATTTTTTTCATTTTTAAATGTTTGAATGTTTTTTCTCACTAAGGTGAAGCAAAAAAAGAATGTGGCATCCCAAGGGCATTATAATGTTGTAGGAGTGCCTTTTTGTAAACTAATGAGAGACATGTGACGTTCACAAGTAGGAGAATTAGGAGATATTACATCTAGGTGATTATCGCAGATATGGATAATGAGGATAATGTAATGGATTGTAGAATCTACAAAGACCCTTGTCATAACACAGAGAAATGGACGTGAGAGAGTAACAACAGGCTGCAGTGCATTAATGAATCTTGTCACTGTACCTGGAAACCAAAGCATTTGCATTGAATAATTTCTGAAGGAACTAATTTTTCTAGTATTTCTTTAACATCAACACACAACTGACTTCAAAAGATACGAATATGTTTCATGAATAAACCCACCCCATATAATTAAGAATGGTAATTAAAATGTTGAATTATGCTTGAAAAGGCATGACCAGATGGAAATGGCTAGTATCAAAAATGGAAGAAACAAAGATAACATGACAAATATACAATCAGAAAAGACATGATTATTCATTAATGTTCTTCTGATGTCCAATTTAGGTGATAAATCCAATAATATTACCTTTATTGCAAAAAGGTCGCCTGTGACTCTTTTCCTTGCAAGGAAAACCCTTCCAAATGCCCCTCGGCTTATTGGTTTTATGATTTCAAAATCCTCGATGGATGTTCGATCCTTTAACTTTGCACCCAAGGTTCTACCATTCCCCAAAGATCCATCATCTACTATCACACTTGAGACATCTTTAATCCCATCATCGATCTGCCCACATAGATGTATGAATTTCTCCCTGTTGAACTAAAAGGATTAATCAAAAGTACACAATTGTCTAAAGAACAACAAATTCTGAGTAACACTATGGTTTTTTTTTTCAGCTAAAATTTGTATTTTAAAACAAATAATTCAGTGTTAAAACTCTTGATCTCATTCTGGTAAGTCTCTCATTAATGTCAAAAAATGTTAGAACAATGAAAAAAAGCAACCCATCTGAACATGCAATCTGCAATAGAAATTGTAACTCACTGTAGTAACTTTGCAATCTGTCTTCCAAATGTCTCAACAACAAGTCCGTCGACCTTTCTAGTATCAACAACAGCATTTAAATCTTCTAAACAGGAGCTCAAGTCCTCAAGTGAACTGTAATTGCAAGTTTTTATTCTGGCAATGCAGCGAACTATATCCAATAAACTCTCTATCTGCCAATGCATGATACAATAGAAGTTCAATAAAAGATGAATCACAGTGTCTAATTGAGATAAGGATTAAGCACTAAGTTCCATTAAGACATTTCAATTAAAAAGCTTCAAAGATGAAACAATATAATAAATTCTGAGAATTACAAGAAATGTTTTGCTTTATAAGTTGATCAGCTCAGAATAACTAGCATAAGTAGACAACCCAGCATGATGCTGCAATTCCTCTAACTGATCAATCAAGCTTGAACGCCATTCCAGTTTCTAAGGCAATATAGCTATAATGCAGTTTTATCAGGTTATTTTGGAAATATACTATAGTGACATACCATAGTGAATTATTCTGAACTATCGACAGAAATTGAGGCTGGAAAGTAAGGACTGAGCCAACAGTGCATGTTTGTCATCTTAATGCCTCAAGCTATCTTGAGGTAGAATCATATTGATTATTTACATCAGGTTAAAACATGATTCCATGTATCTCATTTGAGACATTTTATTAACCAGGAGATCCAGACCCTCCAATGCAACATGTCCGCCTTGCATTGTGCAAGTCTCAATTGACACCTTTTAGGCTCACAAACAAACCTCAAATCTGAGATCAGCCTGATACCCAGATCCAACCCACTTCCCATCCGTTTCAACCTGAAATCAGTCCCCTTTCTGCTTGTTCATTCGTTCTATCTCAATCTCATTATCGAATCTTCTTTCTTAAATCAAATTTCAATATCAAGCAAATCAAATTCAATCTCAAAATTGTTCTTCATTTTTTCCAAAGCAAGGTAAATCTGAAGCTAAACTTCTAAATATTTTCATTCAGTTGTTCTCTATATGCCTTGACTGAAACTTTGTTTTTATGCTTATAGGTTTGCTCACGATTTCATGCTTGATTTTGGCTTTCTTACATCTACTTTATTTGTTCAAATAAGGCTGTATCTGTGCACGTCTAGCATAGATTACCTAAGTCTAAGTTGGATCCACTTGGTTCCATCTCAAATCCGGCCTAGAACCATCTAAATCTAGACTAGATCAACATGAAACCAGCCTAGATACATTCTGGTCCAGCCACAATCCATGCAGAGCCAGTGTGAATATGTAAATATAAGCTAGAACCATGGCTAGATCCGAACAAATCCAACCTAGATCCCTATAGTTCTAACCTAGTTCTAGTGTGGATGTGTAGATTTATGCTAGAACTTCTTAGATCCACTCTAGATCAGCATCGATCTCCCCTAGATCCTTACAGATCTAGCCTAGTTCTATGTGGATCTAGGCTGTCCTCATGTGGATTAAGACTAGAACCACATGGATGTAGCTAAAATCTACATAGATCTATCCCAGATCTGGATGGATTCAGCCAAGAATTATGCAGATGTAGTCTAGATCCACATGGATTAACCAGTATATATAAAAAATTGTCAAATCCATGTAGATTTATGCTAAATTCACATTAGTCCAGCTTAAATTCATGCAAATCTATAGTAAATCTAAGTTGTTTTCTAACAATTACATAAATATTAAAACTACAAAAAAGGGCATACCCTTGCATGAAACTCCCATCAATGTAAGGTCCAAGGAGTGTTATTGTACGCAACCTTACCTCTACATATAGAAAGGTTATTTCCATGACTCGAACCTTGATCTCCCAAGTCGCAAAAGAGCAACCTTACCAGTAATAAGGCCCACCCTCTAAATTTTTAAAACTATGTATGTGAAATCATTTAAAAATTATTGTAGTAAGATAGCACCAAATTAGCAAATAACCAACCCGGCATGATAACGCACTCATTGCTTGGAACACCATCATCATTGGTAGTGCATCCATAGGGACTATGTTGATCATAGTGGAGGAACAACCAGGATGAAGTATCATTTGGTCAGTAAATCTCCAAATATAGCTAAATATGTGTAGGTCCCTCAAGATATTAGATGAATATTCAACAGAGTTGAATGCTTGGATTCAGTATAAAACAGAGAAGTAGAACTTAGATAGGTGACCATCCAAGCTGCCTATATATAATGATCACAAAAGTTGAGAGGACAATGTGTAGGACCCCAAGGTTGTGCACGACATTTGCATGTCATTATATCACTATTACATATATTATGAGGCATGAGAGACAAACATCAATGTGATCCATCTCAACTGCCACTGAGACAGACCTGTCTCAGTTGGATTGGTCTTTCAATATAAGATATTATGGTGGTAGAATCGGCCTGATCTAGGCAAGAGAGTCAGTATGAGGCAACCCAACAACAATGGTGTCCATGAGATAGGAGTCTCAGTATGAGACAACCAGCACCAATTCTAGGGCATTAGGGGTCTTGTGAGATATTTCAGCAAAATGCCACCTCTTGATGCTGATTTTGATCCGATGATACTCTCCCCTCGGTGTGCAGATAGATCAGGATCCCTTCCACCACCAAAGTGAAGGGAGATACAAGAAAAGTAATTACAATTAGTTTAACTTCAACACATTGCTCCACATGCAACTCGAGATACTTACTTGCAAAATTGCAATCCATGATGTTTCATTCAGAAGGATGGTCTCAAAAGACAGCGCCATTTTTCATATGACTTTGCTAGGTACAACTTGAATTTGTTGTTGAATCTCAAGAAATAGTGGACTTGGATAGTGCGACCCTCATGTGTGATAACTGAACATCAAAATATTTTAGGTGTATTATAACAGAAGAATTATCTTTCACAAGTTCGTTAATGAATACATTAAATTTACTATACATTGTATGTACAAGTCAGACTAAGACTACGATGGATGGATTTAGAGGATACTATATAGTTCATGAGGTGGCTAATGATAGCGATAATTTCAAGAAGATTGTACAGCTTACGCACATGCAAGGTTATCTTTTCTAGGCAACATCTATGGCTGACATTGCATTGGTGATAGCTATTTATATTTGGGGCAATTAACCAAAAGTTATAGAAAGAAAAAGAAAATTTTGTATATGATTTTTATTTACTTAGAGAAAGCCTATAGTAGAGTCCCAAGCTATATATTATAGTGGATTTCAGACAAGGTGTATGCACTAATCATATTGATATTATATAATCAAATTTTCTATAATAAATCATGCATTTTAATAACAATCAACATGTTGGTCCATTGTAGTCCATTTAGATGTAAATTAGAGCTTAATGTATAAAAAATCAAGCCTAGATTCTTGTAAATCTAAGCTAGATCCTTGTGTTTCTAAGCTAGATCCATGAGGATTATGGCTATAAAGTCACGGTGCACTCTAACCTACTCATACTTGCCGTGGTCATACTTGCCCCAAGTGCCTCCTACCACATGGGTCGTTCATGATAATGGAGCAACAACTGCTACCATGTTATTGCATCAATGGTATACTATTTATTGGTGTCTCTTAAAATATCAAGGGAGTAATTTCATGTATGGGTCTGTAGAGACACCATTTTGATTTACAGTTTCATCACATCGACTTATCGAGTACCCCGATCCACCTATCATTGACTCACTTTGATCATTTTGGTGGTAGTATTAGGTATATGTTTTACTTTTACACCTAATTAATTATACTTATATGTTAGTCAGAACTTAGAACTCCTTTCTGTGTACATGTATTCTTTAGAATTTAGATACTGTATTTGATTCTTATCCAATATATATATATATATATATATATATATCAATTAGGTATTTTATTGTTTTCTATATTACAATCACTTCATTGTTATCAACGTATTTGCCAAGAATAGCTATAAAGAACTCCAAATTAGGATTTCCTTTTATGAGTCATTTGTATTTGCCAAAAATGGTCCATCTAGTTCCAAATAAAAGAAGAAAAGTTATTGTTCTAAAAGAAAATTATTGTTAGAATGCACATTTGAGGGAATAAAAATACAAATATCAACTGTACCAGTTAGTATGAACTAGCATTTATCAATCTAACCAAGTATTGATATTGAAACATATAGTTCAACACCCATACAACTTACTTTTTATGAAATTATATTAGGTGGCATAGGTCGATATATCATCAATAGAAATGGCACCACTATCTGATAGAATAATGGGACCGGTGTCGCACTGAAATTTAGATATTTGAAGGGGCATGTATCTTATTCTACACTATGTTAATAAATCCTATAAAGTAAAATTGATAGGAATCAGTGAATACAACGATATGTACATAGAAATACTTATACTAAAAAATACTCAAAGAATGCTGAGGTCATTTTCACTGAACTAGATCCTCTAAATGGAATGGCAATGATATAGAAATTTAGACTGAGATCTAATGCTTGGTTGGACATAATTTGGTGCTATTATATAGTTTAGGAAAAAAATGTAGCATTTGTACAATGTCATGACGGGAACCTACTGTTAGAAAGCAAGTTTTGAATACCAGTTTGTGTACCAATATTGAAATGCATAGCTTGATAGTTGACACTATAATATTTTTTTTTTTTATTCAATGGCACTGATGGTATAGGTGATATACCACCTGCCGATTGTATTGGTCTGATGGTTCTTGAAACTGTTACGGGATCAATGTTAAAAACTTGGTTAAAGGTATAACAAACATCCAATGACTAATTAGGCCTATTCTTGGGTCATTTCCTTTTTGATATATATACATTCTTTCAAAAACTAAGTTTCTTATTTAAAGATCGGTAGCCCTCAAAGGTTTTTGTCTACAAACAGATTAAGAAACAGTAAGCAAATATCAAACGCTAAAGGCTAGATATTGAAACATTTATAGCTTCTTTTTTTTGCATAAAGATGTTTTGTAGCTGAACTTCAGTAAACCCCAAGTACAATAGTTCATTCGGGCAACACAAAGGATGCCAAGCAAGCAACAATAGCTGGGAAGATGAGAAAGAATGACAGAAACAAAAGCACTTCTATTAGAAGAAACAAGGTTCCTCGCCTATTATTTTGCATGATCAAGATGTAAATTTCTCGCTCAATTGTTGCGTAAGGAATAATTTGCTAGACCAACTATTAAACCAACTTCGGTACCAGAAAATTTATGACAGCCTTATGTGAAATAATATGGTTAAGAATAAACAAACCTGCTGAAAGTTTTCATGATCAGCAAATGCCTTGGTTCCAAGCAACAGCAAATCAATCTGGCTAGTTCGTGGTGTCATTATTGGTGATTGCGGGGTCATACTTCCTGATGATAAAGCACTCCGTGAATTGCTTGACGTTACAGGTAGTTCATTCAAATTACTTGCAATTAGATTACCAACAACTACCCTATCCACAATTTCTGCAGAAGATAAATAGGACAAGTTATTATGACTCATAGACAGGACATCTGATCCTTCACTTAATCATGAAGCACCAATTTTAACAACCTCACCATGGATTTCTACAATATCTGTGTTCTTTGGTGTGCAGGATGCCAGAATTCTCTCAAGTATTTCAGCAACTCCATCCAGCCTCTCATCAATAGTTAAACCCTTTGAATAACATCTATCAGCAATCGTGCATACTCTAAAATGACCCTCGGCATATATAGTCGGTATCTCAAAATCACAAATCCTACATATCATTTTTGGCTTTACATCAGCTGGAATTTGTTGATCTCCAGAATAATCAGCAGAAGCTACTTCTTCTGCCTCGGGCAATGGTTCCGTTGAACTTGCTAGGACCCCAAGGTCTTCTGTGCTAGAAGCCAATTTGGCTCTCTCTATCGGTGGCAGTGAATCTAAAACCTTTTTTGAGGGGTACTCATTCTTGTCATGGAATCTCTTCTGATTCTTCTCATTCGCTGATGGAAGCTTCTTCCAGGACGAAATCCTAGCTCTACTAGAAGGAGAATCTATTTGTTGACTAGAAAAATCATGATTAAGGAACCTATGCTCTTGGATCCTCTTCATGATGATCCTTTCCTTTGTATCCTTAGAACCCAATGAGATCTTGAAGCTCCCATCTCTCGATTCAGGATAAAATCCCAGGTCGCTAAGCTGGTGTAGCCCGAGAATATGTTCGTGCTCTCTGTAAGCACCCTCTTTCTGGAACTGAATCAACCTAGTGCACCTAGTGAGGATGAAAAGAATGCGAGTATGGACTTGCTTGAGCGTGCCCATTGGCAGTTCCTGGCGGCGGTCATCCAGATTCTGGACTATCCCCTCACAACTCGACCAGAATTCATCTGGCGACATCTCTGCACAATTCTGGGTTACCACCAGAAGATCCTCCAGAGGCTCCCGCCATTCAGGATGTGCATCCGTGTCCTTTTCGAGTATGCCCACCAAATCGCCCGCCAATACGCCTAACTCCGAGTCAACTTCTTCCTTCAACCGTTTGAATTTCGAGCGAATCACACCCATTATTTCCTATAAAACAACCATGGCATTGAATGAAATAAAGCGATTTGTCATCAACATCCAACTTAAACTAAAACACAAAGCAAGAGAATAAGAACGAGGCAATGCATCACCTCCGGGCTGCTGAGACCTCGGAGCTTGCGGATCGGGATGTGGTGGGTTCTTTTGGAATTCAACTCATGGGAGAAGCTCTTGACGTCGGTGGGGGCCCGCTTCCGGCGGCCGCTCGTAGCACGGAGAATGGCGCGGAAGCGAGGGGACTCAATCTCCTTGGCGGCGTTAAATTTGACACGGTGGCTACCACCACCACGCTGCCATAGGATTTTCATCAAACACCATCCGTCATGGCATCCCAAACGCGAATCACACCAAGAACCCCCATGGGATTTTCATCAAACACAAAAGCGACGAACCTTGGAGAATCAAAGAACACGGATTGCCTTACCTCCATATCAACACAGAAATCGGCTTCGGGGTTGGAATTGGTCACCGGAGCCTACTTCCTCCCAACACCAGAAAAATTATCGAACAAACAGATCAAAAAACAACAATAATTGGGGACAGATTTGGTAGGAAAAAATCTACAAACACAAGATAAAGAATGGGAAAAGAAAAATTCGATGGGTTGGAACGGCCATCATCGGCCTCGATTCCTATGTTATTTGTTCGTTTAATTTTGTTTCTTCTCTCTCTATTAAAAGCCCGCGGAAATCCAGCTCGTCTTCGCGTTCGCTGCACCCGCGGTGAGACTTAAATGTCGTGAAGACCGCGATTTCGCCGTGACGTATCCGTTTTGCGAATCAGAAATGAACACGTAGTTGGTATAGACTAAGCCTTGGGAAACCTGTCCTTTTCTGCTCCTGGATTTTGTTTAATTAGGATTGATCGTTATATTATTAAATCGATGGCGACTTTTAATCGTGAGATTATTCGAGAAAAAATTAATTGCCCCTATTAATTTAACCTAAAATGATATAAAATTTACTTCGATTTGGTTGCAACTTATTCAAATAGGAAAACAATAAGGATTTGGTTGCCATATATTCAAGTAGGAGAATAACAAGGATGACAAGATGAGTATATATTACGGTAAATTATTAGTGTTTCGAGTGTTGGGAATTTAGAGTTATATAAAGCCCTTAAATCATCTCACTCAATCCCCACTCACATTCTTATATAAATATAAATAAAAAAAATTTCTCATCATCTCTACATGAGAAAAATATATTCTCACATCTTACTCTTCTCATCATAGATATTTATTAAATAATTAAATCATAATTTTTAATATTTTCTCAGAAGCCTTTTTGGAATGTTTCGTTTGTTCACGATAAATCTTTTCATTTTATGATTAGTTGTGATTTATGAATCTGAAAATGCTTACTAACCCAAATATCAGCAACAACAAAGAGGCTGATCTTTTATATGACCTTCATTGCGTGTATCGAAAGTGCACTTCATTGTAATGTACGATTCACGTACTGCAACCTCGTTGATCCGATAACAGACATGAATCTAATTATATATTATATATTATGTTATGTATTTAAATCTTATTAATATCATAATTTTCATACTTAAAAAATTATACAACACTTCGATACAAAAATAAAAAAAAATTAATATTAATTTTATCAAATAATAATAATTTTAATCTGTCATTCGGGAAAAATAAAAGGAATATTAAAAGCATGCACATGTGCATTTTTCGTGTTATCGGACAAATAAGATTATTTATTTTATTTTTAAAATATAAAAAATTAAAATAAAATTGATGTGATGCTTGCCGCTTTTGTCTCCATATTTTATGCCGACGAAGGTGTCTTATCTGTGCATGTTTTGTCGGATCGTTGTTACTTTGTCGTACGGTGCACCGTGACCTAAGGACACGGTTCAGCCACCGGCAGGCACCGGCCACCCCGCTGCCGGTGGACAATGGGAAGTCGGCGTCGCCGATCCGGGAGCTTCTCCTTCATGGAGGAGCAGCCGGAGGAGAAAGAAGAGGAGGGCGAGCTGCAATGGCCCTTCGGCCGGCTCGACGCCCTCGGCAGGGACGAGCTCAGGGAGAGCGCTTATGAGCTTTTCGTCGCCTGCTGCCGCTTCTCCCAGGGCTCCAGCGGCCGCGCCCCGCCCTCCCGCCACCCGGCCGACGGCAGCGACGCGGGGACGAAGGCCGGCGCTGGGATCATGTCAGCGACGAGCCGGGTGAAGGGCGCGCTGGGCCTTAGAGCGAGACTGGCGGGGCCGATGAGGACCATGGTCAACTCGGGATCTCCGGTGACGCTGCCCTCGGCGGCAGGGACGGCGACAGCGTTGTCACCTGCCGGAAAGCCGAAGCAGCGGCCGATGACGTCGGCGGAGATAATGCGGCAGCAGATGGGGGTGACCGAGCAGAGCGACACCCGCCTGAGGAAGACCCTCATGCGCTTCCTCGCAGGCCAGGTCGGTCGGTTGCTCCACCTCCTTTCTCCCTCTGCGCAACGAAATGCTTGCAATGCTAGGATCACGCAGACTAAAATTTTTCATCGATCACATGGTGGTTTTGTCGTGCTTGTGGTAACCTACTGTTGATCTGTTCTTCTTCATCAGGTAGGCAGGCAAGCAGAGACGATCATCCTTCCGCTAGAGCTCCTCCGCCACCTAAGGCCACCTGACTTTGTTGATTCTAACGAATACCATCGTTGGCAACGTCGGCAGCTCAAAATCTTGGAAGCAGGACTCGTCTTGCACTCTTGGCCACCTTGTGACCGCTTGAACTCCTCAGGACTTCGTCTCAGGGAGATCCTGACCGCGAGCGAGCTGAAGCCCATCGACACCAGCAAGCACTCGGAGGCCATGCGCAACTTGTGCAACTGTGTCATGGCCTTAGCGTGGCGCTACCAGAATGCGACTCCAGTTGAAGCGTGTCACTGGGCTGATGGATTCCCCTTCAACATACATCTCTACCTCTCCCTGCTTCGCTCCATCTTCGACCTCAAGGATAAGACAGTGATACTAGATGAGGTGGATGAGCTGCTGGAGCTGATGAAGAAGACATGGGCAACCCTAGGGATCAATAAGATGGTCCACACTGTGTGCTTCACTTGGGTCCTCTTCGAGCAGTACGTAAGGACCGGGCTAGTGGAGCCTGACTTGATGGGTGCGACATTGGCGCTGCTGGACGAGGTGGCCAACGATGCCATGAGGCCCGAAAGGGAATCGGGCTACGTGAAGGTCTTACTCCCCACAATGGCCTCGCTGAAGGCGTGGGCGGAGAAGAAGCTGTTGGACTATCATGAGGGGTTAGAGAAAGGAGGTAGGATTGAAATGATGGATAACGTGTTGTGTTTGGCATTCTCGACGGCAAAGATCATCAGTGAGGAGACATCGAGCAATGCAAGTGTGGGGATGCTTGTCAAACTTGACACCGGAGGAGATGCGGACGATTTCTCACCCATAAACTGCGTAGATCGATTTATTAGGGCTTCTTTGAAGTGCGCATTCACCAAGGTCAGCATCACCGTCTCTCAAATGATCCATTCTTTTCATTTCAGAAGCCATGATGAACTCTTCAATTTCTAGAATCATTTATCATGACATGCTGTGTGTGCCTAGTGATTGCAGGCACAAGAAAACTGTAATGGAAAGGTTGATAGCAGAGTGGTGGATGAGGAGGATCCGCAAGAGGCCTTAATAAAACTGGCGAAAGAGACAGAGGAATTGGCCCTGTTGGAGAAGGAGAACTACAGTCCATTGCTAAAGAGGTGGTATCCAAATCCAACTGCTGTCGCAGTGGTGACCCTCCACAGCTGCTATGGCGCCGTGTTGAAGCAGTACTTGCTCAAAACTTCAGTTCTAACAAATGAGTTGGTCAGAGTTTTGCATACCGCAGGGAATCTAGAGAAGGTTCTGATTCAAATGGCAGCAGAGGATTCCGTAGGGGCTGAAGGCGGAGGGAAGGGGATCTTAAGCGAGATGATTCCCTACCAAGTAGACTCCATCATCTTTAACCTTATCAAGCGTTGGGTAGACGATAGACTGAGGATGGCAAGAGGGTGCTTTAACAGAGCTAAGGAGACTGAGGTGAGTTCACCGTAGGGCCACTGGTAGAATCCTTCTTACGTTCGAACTTTAACTCCGCGCAATGCAATTGTAACAGAGTTGGAATCCCAAGTCCAAATCAGAGCCATATGCGGAGTCTGCAGTGGATCTAATGCAGCTAGCCAAGATGACGGTGGATGAGTTCTTTGAGATCCAAGTGGAAGCAAAAGATGAATTGGGCCGAGACCTTGCTGATGGTTTGGATACTCTGTTTAAGGAGTACTGCTCCTTTGCCGCATCATGTGGTAAGTCTCCCTCTCTCGCACGTTGAAGACAAAGGACTTGTGCTACTGATGTCTCTAACACTGATAGGTTCAAAGGAAAGCTTTATTCCAGCGCTCCCTCCGCTGACCAGGTGCAACCAGGACTCGATGGTCGCCCAGCTGTGGAAGAGGGCGGCCGCCCCTTGCACTGTCGGCGCCGACCCCAGCCTCGTCCTCGTCTGCAGGCCCTTCCCGGCACCGGGCGACAGCACCACCAACCACCGCCACACTGCAAGCCGCGGCACCCAACGCCTTTGCGTCCGCCTCAACACACTCCAGTACTTTCTAGGCTGCCTCCACACCATAGACGAGTCCTTCTCCTCCCATTGTTCTCCCCTACCCTCCCACCGCCACTTTGACGGCGCCCACTCTTCCATTCACTCTGTCATCCTCCACGTAGCTGAGCTAGCCGCCTTCCGGCTCATCTTCGTTGATTCTTCTCACTCCTTCTATGACTCGTTATACTTTGGCAGCGTATACCATGCTCGAATACATCCGACCCTCCAAGTGCTAAACCAGAATCTAACATATCTGACATCGGTGCTAATCGACGGGGCACAACCGCAAGCGGTGTGCGAAGTGATGAAGGCGTCGTTCGGAGCATTTTTGATGGTGCTATTGGCCGGAGGCAGCGGGAGGGCTTTCACGAGGGGGGACTACGACATGTTGGTGGAGGACTTCATGAGCTTGAAGCATATGTTTCTGGGGTGCGGGAAGGGGCTGGTGGCGGAGGAGGTGGTAGAACAACAAGCGGAGGTGGTGGAGGGGGTGTTGGCGCTGATGAGACTGCCGACAGAGAAGCTGGTGGAAGACTTCAGCATCGCGGCATGCGAGGCCAGCGGGCTGGGGAGATCGCTGGAGACGGTACCCATGCCGCCAACTACAGGCAAGTGGCATTGCTCTGACCCCAACACGATGCTCCGGGTGTTGTGCCACCGGAACGACGACGCCGCCAACCGATTCCTGAAGAAGGCGTTCGAGCTGCCGAAGAGGAGGTGAAATCAGATGAGCGGCTCGGTTTGTACGAGCGTTAGCCAGTAGCTGTTCTCACCACGTTCGACATCATCACTAGGACTGCATCTTTCTCAGGTTCATTATTCTCATGTCAACGTGTTAAGTCAACAGATTCACATGATCGAGTCAACGAATACCTTTTATCATTCAATTCTAAGAGAAACGGTGATGTATAGGACCACGTCTTAAGATTAAGACATTTACAGCACACGTCTATTGTTTTGGGAGCTTCTTATGATGTTGTGATAGTGTGGTCTTCTTGGATATTAACTCTTGGATGGTTTCAAAAAGAATTATTAGTATATCACCCCATAAAAAACCTACTGCATCGTGTGTGATGTCAGAGACTTTTCTATGCTTTGGTAGGAGCAGTTTTTAATGGCGGAGTGAACCTATAACTATAGGAGCCGATAAATCTCTTTTAACATCACTTATCAGATTGATGAGGTTTGTCATCTTAGAAGTTGAGCCATGAGAGCATTACCTGTGGAGGTGCAAGCATAATTTTGCCGAGGCTTCATAGCGTTCTTTCACCTATATTATCATCTAGTATATATTGGTCGGTGTGGTTCGTAAAGATGACGAATCGATGTAGGGATGTGACATGAAATGTCGATGCGGGAATGCGGATGGAGGACAATTAATTGGCCGGTGAACTAAATCATAAGATATTGGGATTGATAGCAAAATTGTTTTGTTATTATGGAACCTCGAGTAAAAACAAATACACCTTACTGTCCAAAACATATTCACAACTATTTTGTTGACGTCCAATCAAACACCTTTAAAATTAACCAAAATATATACGATGATTTTATACATAATTTATTATCGTTTGACCGTTTTGTTATTATGGGTCGCATTGCCCCTTCCCCGTGGTTGGTGGAGGAGGTCAATGGTATACCCATTTCCCTCGAGCGACAAGGGGGGTTGGCATCAACCCCTCTACTTTAGGTTAAACCTCGAGTGAGTTAGGTTTTTCTGATCTGCATGTCTTATATAAGCCATGCTTTAAGTGGGTTAGGTTTTTCTAACTTTGTTTGACCTATGCTTTTGAGGATTCTCTTCTTCTGGATTGGGTATTTTTGACTTATGCATCAGACATATTTTACCTTGTGCTTTCTATCATAATGAGTTTCTCCCTATGTGGGTTGGGCTTTCTCGACTCATGTCTTGACACATTATACATTGTACCTCTCGTCGTAACGAGTTTCTTCTTGCATGGGTGGAGCTTCACTGACTCACGTATCTCGAGCATATTTGGTCTTATGCCTTATATCATAGTGGGTTTCTTAATATATGGGTTGAGTTTTATTGACTCACGTATCTTAGGCTCATTTTTCCTTGTGTCTTAAATTGTGATAGGTTTCTTTCTACATGGGTATGGTTTCACCAACTCATGTGTTTTGGGCATATTTTGTCTTGTGTCTCTCACTATTGTAGGTTTCTTCGAGTCTAATTTTACCGACCCACGCATCTTAAGTAAATTTTGCTTTATGTCTTTTGTTGTGGTAGGTATCTTTCGAGATAGCCTTTACTATTGGTCACTTTTGTACTTTTAAATGTGGTCTTTATATATTGATAACTTTTGTGCTTTTTGAGATGGCTTTCACATATCGATCGCTTTTATGCTTTATGAGGTAGTTCTTCATTGATTAATGTCTCTTCAGATTTAATCCCCTCTCTATAAATCCTCACTAGTTATGGTGATGGGGCTCATTATCTCCATTTGAGCCTCCAAGGTATTATTTATGAGCTTCTTCTTAGCCTCAGCCTTTTCTTTTAAGGTTAGTCGGTTTTTGATCTTTTTCTTGAAGATAGGTTAGTTCTCGAGTATCTCATCCTTTAGGCGCATTGATTTTCTAGTACCTCAACCTTCTAGCACCCCAATCCCAAAATACTTCTTCCACATTTATATAGGAAAATCTAGGCGCGACATCACATGCACAACGGAAGAACGTAAAAAAAAACCCAAAATTTTCAATACTTGTTCATCGTCGCAAGTAGATTGGTGCACAAAACCCGCGAAATAGAAAACCACGTATGAGATAGTTATGTTACCTAGGGAGATTGTATATCCCTAAATCCCAAATTTTTCAATACGTGTTCATCATCGTAAGTCTATATAAATGGATGAATGAGGTCAAGTGTCCTCCTCTCTAGCGGTGATCCATACAGCAGGACTGTAACGATGCTCCACAAATCTCCATGCCTACTCTCTAAGGAGGAGAAGGGGAGAGGAGAATAGTAGGTGGCAACTAAGAAACCCTAGCCTATGGGCCTTTAGTTCCCTCTTATTTATAGATGCCCCCAATTAACCTTAATGGATCATGGCCTATTGGGTACTGGATCTCCATCCAATTATCCAAGCCTCTTAGACTAGTGAGTCTCTACCAAATAATCTCTTATTAGCTCATATTTAATCTCATCCATGAGATCCAATAATTTAGAAGCTTATTGGATATCCAATAATTTAGGAGCTTATTGGATATCCAATAATATAGGGGCTCCAACGGATATCTCATATTTGAACATCTTCTCGTTGCAACACTTACCATATGTATATGACTCTCTAGGCCCAATATTAAGCTGACTGTAAGTAATATCTGTTAGAACTCCTTCTAGCTCAGTGAATTATTATCTCCATAATAATTCACTCGACTCATCGACTACGGACGTACTAGGCCATTACGATGCAGTCCCCAAACGATACAGTGGATTCCAATCTTTTGGATCTATATGTCCTCGATTACCATGTACCTACAGTCCCTCGTCCATTTAATATCTCAAAGACCATATACTGGACATGTTACTGTCATGCCCATATGATTTCTTCTCGAGTATCGTTATAATAGGATTCTCCCGGAGAAATCTTTCTCTCTCAATCTTAATGACATTGACCAATGATTTGTTTGAGCAAGAATATATAGGATATTCCTCTCATAATACCGAGAGCGGATGATCCTCTATCGACACTCAATAGCCCTCGTATGATTGGCTGCCACTCCCAATAACCAGTTGTACTGGATTTGAAACTTCCAAACCTATAAGTCTGGTATCAAAGAGTGGAGTACTCAGACAGGATATCTTTGGTGTCTCAAGTCTAAGAACCAGATATACTACTAGGACTACGGAATCGTTGTTTAATAATAAGGCATCATCAATCATCCATTATTATATGAGCGGATCAATCAATGAACTCATTCTCTAATAAGCACTTACATTGTATCCTTAGTGTCCTCACATGAGTAGTTATGAGACCAACTGCCTCCATAATATAGATGGGTATATATCATACTAGTCTATCGGTTATCTCGTTGTCCCTCTCGAGTAATCTATGACCATGATTATTTAGGATATGTATTTATAGGTGAATCGATCTCATTATCATGATCTCATCACGATCTGATTCTTATTGCACAAATCCATGAATATTACAATATATATACATATATGTAACAATAAATATAAAGTGATAAAAATGTTAAATTATAATATACAAAAAGAATGTGTATTATGTCACACATGTCATCACTTATGTGATTGACTTGCACTGTATCTATGACTAGCACTTTATAGGTTAGGATGTCTTTTTTATTTTACATAAACTCCTTCATATCTTATGGTTATCGAATGGCTGAGGAAGTTAGTGCTCTCTCCTCAAATAATCTAGGGGTAGAGGGATATCTAACCTCTCTATAAGGAGAGTCAGTCCTAGTAAACTCACTTAGTAATGAGCACATAACTCCTAGACCACTTTAAGTCAAATACTCCATCTCAGCCAAGTTTGAGTTACAAGTCTCTCGGCTCGGTCATTATCCATATGACCTAATGTTTAAGTTCATTTGTTTATCTTCTAACACTAAAGGTGAGAGGAGCATTTTTTTTCTCCTATGTACAGGTCGGGAATGGGGGTTCAATCTCACCTGGTCCACATCTATAAATAATATACTTTCCTTCTTGTCGTACAAGAAGGTAGATTAAGTGCTTTAGTTGAGAGATATACTTTCTTCTTTCGAGACAGTTAGAAAGATATTCGACGATTGACTAGTGATGTGGGTCTCAAGTTGATTCCTCAAGGTATGAATTTTTTTATACAATAGAGGATCATCTGCTCTCGGTGTTATGAGAGGAATATCCTTTGTGTTCTTGCTTAAGCAAATCCCTAGCTATGGTCATTCAGATTGAGAGAGAAAGAGTTCTCCAGGAGAATCTAATCAGAGCGAGACTCGAGTAAATTCTATATAGACCTGACAACACTATGCCCAGTATACAGTCTCTAAAATATTAGATGAATGAGATATTATTAATACATAATAACTAAGGATAGATAAGTCCAATGAATTGGATTTTCCTATATCGTATATGAACTATGGCGTAGTGGCGTAGTAAGTCCGTAGTGGATGAGTTGAGTGAATTATTATGAAGATAATAATTCACTAAATCAGAATAAGTTCTAAAAGATATGACTTACGATTAGCTTGATATTGGGCATAGAGAGTCACACACATATGATATGTGTTGCGACGTGTTGAGATTCGAATATGAGATATTCATTGGAGCCCCTATCTTATTGAATATCCAATAAGTCATTTAATTATTGGTTTTTAACGATAAGATCCAATAAGAAAGATTATTGGGTAAAGATACACTAATTCAAGAGACTTGATAGTTGGATGGAGATTTAGTACCTAATATAGAAGGATTCATTAGGGTTAAGTTGGTCATAAGTCAGACCATTTTTTGTTATCACCACATACTCTCTCTCTCTCTTATTTAGCCAACAACCCTAGCTTGGGGCATGTGGACTACTAGTCATAGGTGTCATGCAAGTCAATTATGTGAGTGATGATATGTGTGACTTGACACACAGTCTTTATTACTTATTATTATTATTTAGTATTTTATCATTTTATATTGCCCATTGTATGAATATATTGTGATGTCCATAAATCTGTGTAATGAAAATCAGATCGTGATGAGATCATGATAATGAGACCGATTCGCCTTTAAACATAGATCCTAAATAATCTCAGTCATAGGTTATTCGAAAGGGACATTGAGATAATCAAACAGACTGGTGTATTGTATATCCATCCATATGATGGATGTAACTGGTCTCATAGTTGCTCGTGTGAGGACACTAGGGATACAGTGCATGTGCTCATTGGAGAATGAGTTTATTGATTGATCCGCTCATAGA